TCCAAACCTTGAGAAAAGGCCTCCTGTAAGTCTAAAAAATCGGCCCATTCAAATTTCGGCCTCCCAGGGCAAAAACCCATTTCGGGAGCATAAAATGTCCGGCCTGTACTGCTGCCGCCTGCATACACTGGCACACTGAGCCTTGAAAAATAAAATTCGGCCGCAACAAATTTTCGGTCAAACATGACGAGGCCGAAAATAGCCGAAAATAAATATGCGCTGAATATTTGTTGACGTGCAGTATAACGCATTCACGGCTTCAGTTCAGATTCACGCTTACCGAGGCGATCGACGTGCCTAGCTTTGCGTTCAGAACAGGATTGGTCCGGTAGCAAATGTTACTGTTACTGCTACTGCTGGTGCTGCTGCTGGTGGTGCTTGCTGAGTGAGGTTGGTAGGCCTGGAAGAGATGGTTGGCGCTGGCGATGACACTCGTACCCGGACACTGGATGATCTCGTCCTCCGGCAGGGCCGGCAGCGGGTACTTGCGGAGGCTCTTGCAGGCCGAGGCGGGTCGACTGGTGCCACCGCATGCCGGTGTCAGCTTGTATGTCCACACGGCGTTGCCAAACGCTGCGATGATGCCGACCTCGAGGCTACCGGATGCGCGATGTTGCTTTCCGCCGGCTCCGATCATTGCCGGCTGCCGTTGGCCCGAGTAGGCGAGGCCATATTGCGGGTACAAGAACGTGACAAACGACTGGCATTCGTCAGCTGCCAGGATCGCCTGGAACGTGTTCATCTGCAATGTAGGTAGTTTGAACACAACATACACAGATACCCAATGAGAATAGATTCATCCATATTTGAACACACACAACACACACACACGCGCGCACACACACACACACACACACACACACACACACGCGCACGCGCGCGCGCACACACACACAGCAGGGGCGGATCCAGGATTTTTCAAAGGGGGGATCAATTTTTTCGCACCCTGCCCACAATGACGAAATGAATGACAATTTACATGTATAAAAACTTCACAACCTGTACTTGAACATGCCAGCTGCTATACAAATTTAACTTCAGTACACTTATTTTCAACACTCTGCAGCTAAAAATTTATTGAAGACACGCAGCGCAAGGAAGAAATTTTCAATTTTTTTTGCCGCAGAATAGCTGATTGGTACTTTCTCCAGCATCTCGTCTGTAATAATCGTCGTCATATTGTACTCCGATCCGCCCGACGTTGACTCCACTGTACAGTAGGTTCCATAAGGCAGGCTTCCTGCATCTTTCGTGTCTTGCAGTCATAGTTGTCCCCAGTTCGGAGAAATTTTGATTATTGGATGACGGGACGCTGAACTTGAAGGTGATTTTCAAAGTTTCGTTCTTTGTTTTACCTTTGACACTAGTGGCCACACCTATCTTTGGAGTGTCACCAAAATGCAAGGGCAGCTGGTCTTGAGCCTGCCTCTTTTACATGCTTGGAAGAACTCGAAGACTGCTAAAAAAGCACGAGCCGCGACGACAATTACAGCACTGCCCAGCCACTACAAAATTGTATTCAGAAACTAGTATTTGAAACTTACTTTCGAAGTTTCCACAGCAGCTCAACAAGTGCACCGCTTTCTCCGAAGCGAACGCATATAATACTAGCAGATCTACAATGTAGCTGTACATTCAGTCATTCACTAGCAAGCTGTATAGCTACATGAAGTGGACCGCTCTGGCATGGACCGACTGGGCGATAGCATGGGGCGCGCACGTCACATGGGCATGGGTTAGTGGTCACACCTGAACTATGGTCGGAAAAATAAGGGGGGTTCGTTTGACCCCCCCCCCCCCCTGGATCCGCCCCTGCACACACACACACACACACACACACACACACACACACACACCAGGGGCGCAGCACCCGCTACGACTGGTACGACCATGGCCGTACCACTTTTCAAAAAGTGTGGTCCGTCCGGAACGTGCAAAACCGTAATAAAAAAATCAGGATCCATCGATGCATATGCGCATCAGACTTTGACCTTTTTCTAGACTCGTACTCGTAGATCTGCCATGCATCTGTGCATGTCCATGCACGTCTCATCCGACCGTGAAATAATTCTATGACTTTATAAACTGTGCCAGAAGTTCCCAGAACGCAGGATTTTGAGTCTTTTTTACAAAAATTCCCGGGGGACCTCCCCGGGAAAATATTTTTGCCTTCGGCCGCGCCGACCTTCGGTCGTGCCACTTCCAAAACCCCTCCTACGCCCCTGCACACACACACACACACATGCACACCAGCACACATGGTGAGAGCAGCCAAAATAGCCTTGAAGGTATTCATATACGTTTGAACACACACACACACGTATACAGACACAGACACACAAATACACACACACACACACACAGACACAGACACACACAGACACACACACACACACAGGCACACCTTTGACCTTGACCTTTGACGCCCATCGCCGGAGGCGATGATAGCAATGCTACGGCAGAAGCCATAGCAACTTGTGCTGGGATTGCACCATTCAAC